TGAAATGCTATCACCTGCTAACTCCTTGTTGTGTATCCAAATTAATGAAAACTTTTTAACATCCTCAAGTGTTTGTGTTCTTTGTTTCGGGATTGTTGATATGCCTTTTGCCACTTTAATGCTCATAATGTCCTTTTTCTTAGCAAGTATAGTGCATATTGTTGACATATATTTGTTGTACTGCCTAGCTAGTTCAACAACCTGCGCACCATTTTGATGTTTATGAGTGCTCTCTTGTTTTTCCTCTTTGGTCATTCTCACATGTGTTTTCTTGGCTTGAACCTTACCACTGGCTTTCTTGGGACTCATGGCAAGATATATCATAACAAATTTTATGTTCAAATAGCGAAAAATCCCAAAACAAATGTAATGCTTTACAAAGAATTCAGGCGCGATACTTACTAGGCAGGAGACACTGGTAAACTGAGGCGCGATCACCATGCCACCACGCGCTAGGTCAGCCCATACGTATATCAACAAACTCCTTTCCCGAGGCAAAGTTTGTAACCCGATTCAAATTTTTCGAAGAAATTAGGCTCGTAACCCGAAAAGTTCATAAATATTCATTCGTAAGCCGAGGTGTCACTATATATAACTAAAAAATTAAACTTAGGATTACTTTCAACCCCCACCCCTTTTGCTCTACTCCATCGCCACCTACCTTCACCCCCCTCTATGATGTACTCTTCCATAGACACCTACCTTTGCCCCCCTCCTCCCCTCTACTCCTCCATCATCACCTACCTTCATACCTCCTCCCTTCTCCTCCTCCATCGTCACCTTCCTTTCACCCTCCTCTATGATGTAATCTTCCATAGACACCTACGTTCACTGCATATAATGCTCCCCTCTACTCCTCCATCGTCACCTACTTTCACCCCCCCTTCCGCTCTACTCCTCCAGGGTCGCAGACAATTTCATGAGCGTGAGAACTACGAGTTCTCTAACCACTCTCACACTCCTACTCTCTCACCAGTGAGGGGGAGGGAAGGAGGGAGGAAATGAAGGAAAAAAGGTGGGGGAGAGAGAATAGGCAGGGGGGAGGAGGGCCTAGATACATTTCTTCCATATAGATAGGTAGACTGAGGGAGAGCTGCTTGCCAAGAGCCCTATCAGACAGGCTTCCTATTCCTCAACCCTCCCTAATATGCCACATCCTGGTCAGGACAACTTGCTCGATTGTTATTATTGGTGTGACTCGAGAACTGACCTCGAGGCGGGGCATGGGCATGGATTATCTCCCTGGGGCACGCACCTCCCTGCCCCAGCTCTCTCTCTCTCTCACATAATCTATCAAGGGTCTAACATGAGGTCATTGTGCCTACCAGAAGTGTATATGTCCAAGGCTGGCCACCTGTCTGGACCATTCAAATGTATAAACACGTAATTAGTCTATTAAAATTATATATAATGCTACAATTATAAATTAATTTGTTCATGGTCATTCGTTTATCAGTATTTTAATATGAGGTATATATACGCATGTATGTATACGTTGACGTACACATATATGATTATGTGTATGGAATGATTATGATTATGTGTAATCATATATGATTATATCTAATGGAATGCATTAGTAAGTGATGTGGTGGAGGCTGACTCCATACACAGGTTCAAGTGTAGATATGATAGAGCCCAATAGGCTCAGAAACCTGTACACCTGTTGATTGACGGTTGAGAGGTGGAACTAAAGAGCCAGAGCTCAACCCCAGCAAGCACAATTAGGCGAGTATATGAACGAATGCACATGTACACTTTCAAATGAATTAAGATACCTTGAGATACACAATGACTTAGTTTAAATAGTTTAAACACATTATGGTACTGATTTTGACATGCTGATGTCTGGAAGGGAGAGGGGGTGTGGGGGGTTATTGTCTGAGGTGGAGGACCAGAGGAGGGGGTCAGTGGAAGGATGGTGGCTGGAGGGATGCCATTGTTCTAATGGTTATGAAAACAATTATTGATGGCAGGAATTCAGTGGGTGTGTACTTCACCCGCACCATCACCATACTGTGCCCTGCTACAACCCCCCCCCCCCACTCCACCCATGCTGTGCGGGGCGTATTACACATTATGGGATAACCGACTGTCTGTCCATTCCTGTCTGCTCGTTATGCTGCCCTTTCTTTTGAAAATTGTCTGCTTTATCGACTTCCTTCAAGACCACACGTTAGCCTCTTATCACGCCCTCTTACCACTCTCAGGGAGCCGGCTCTTCTATACAATAGTTACCACTCAGTCCCCAAGGTGAAAGAGTGTCCGGGAATATGACTTGTTACGTGTACTTATTTGCGATTCGTTTGGGCTGTCACGTGTGGTGATTAGTGTTGGGTAAGGCTAGGCCAGGTCAGGTCAGGCTAGGCCAGGTCAGGTCAGGCTAGGCCAGGTCAGACTAGGCTAGGTAAGGCTAGGCCAGGTCAGGTCAGGCTAGGCCAGGTCAGGTCTGGCTAGGCCAGGTCAGGCCAGGCCAGGCTAGGCAGGGTGAGAGAAGTAAAGCGGCAGGTACTTACGTTTCCGAGAAAGTAGCGGCGGTAGTATATTGTTGATTCAGATTCGACGACATCCTGAAGCTAGTAGGTGGCGGCCTCATCGCTCTCGAACTTCTTGTTGTTGTAGGGGATACGAGGCACACCCAATATCCCCCTTACATTGATCACATCGCACACTAATATTTTTACTATTTCGGACACCAGATTTGTCTGTTTCGTATATGTATAATTGTTCAATATTAAAACCACAATAGAATGCTCTTAACAGTTACAATTTTCAACTTAACAGCCATATAGTTGGCAAGGACGCCGCTCGCCAGAACATAAGATTTTCTGCGTGAAATAAGCATTGTTCTGAGATGAATATTGCGGATTGAATATTGCGGATGAATATTGCGGATTTCCGGCTCTACGACCGATGAAAAATGCAACTTTTATACAACTACAAATATCTTTAGTTTTACTTTAAATTTTGTCCTGAAAGAGTTTTCATATATAGATCCAGTTTCTGCCGTTCTTCTGACATAAAAAGACCTTTGGTTTAATAAGTTATTAAGATGTTTTCAACAATATTACTAGGGCGTTCACAGATTCTAACATGGGCGACCCTTTTGGAAACGCAACACATGGGTTGACCTGATTGATATATGGGTCAGATTCCATTCGGAACATCATTACCAGTCCCTCTATGGCACTTCCTTCCTTATATTGCTTTGTCTGCTTCACTCCCTTCCCCCTAACATTATTATATATTAAATACATCTCGTAATAATAGTTTTCCTTGGGTTCTGTGTTCATGGGAAATACAATATTGATTAGGCAGCTCATATTCACACGGGGGACTTGTTCAGATTAAATGGGATCAATTTATCAAATATCTTATTAAGAATATTATGACAGTCTCTTATATTAATTCATCTGATACCTCTTACCTTATGGGTGGAATAATATATTATATGATTTGTCATGGTCTTTTATTTTCATTAACGACTGGGCACAGTTATTTATGCCCGAAATGCTCTACGCATTAGTTGTTTATATAATGTAGATAAATAGTTTTAGAAAGCTATACAGGCATGTAAAGAACACGTACTGTATAAAAATATATTAAACACGTTGGTAAAAATAAAAGGAAGGTTGTTCGAGTATTATCTACATAAATTCGAGTAAATATGTAGCTAGCAACTGGATGGGTGAGTGCTTGTACACAGCTTTGCTCGCTGTTGTTGTTGTTATAGATTCAGCAACTTGGAACAAGTTCCTAGTAACATGGGCTATGGTGAGCCCGTAACTTACCTGGCACAAGAGCGGGGCAAGTAGCACGAGCTATGGTGAGCCCGTAGTGGGCTTACCTGGCACAGGAGCGGGGCTGTAACTGCTTTGCTCGCCCTTTCCATCCATATTTAGAACCAGTTCACATTCTACGGATAGTCACCATTTCTAGTGGGATCAACGGGGTCAGGAAGCCGGCGGCTTCTTGAAAGTTCCAACATTGTTTCTAAGGATTTTTTACATCTGGAATTTGAAGTAAAGTGTACATTTTTAACGTCCTTTGCATTTTAACGTCTTCAGCGGGTAGGTGGTTCCATGGGTTTATAACCCTGTGGGGTGAAAATTCATCTTGTTTTCTGTCCTATATTGTGGCTTGTTGAGCTTGAAGCCGCTACCCTATGCGTTACAGTGGACATTTTTAAAGAAGTGGTCTGAATTAATATCCTCAAACTTGTTCAGCATTTTGAAGGTCATGATCAGCCCTGTCATGTGGGGTTTGCAATGTTGCTAGTCCTGAGGCCCTCAACCGTTCCTTGTATGAGAATTGACTTTGTTCTGGGAAGCTTTTTGTCGCTGTGTTGAACTTTCTCCATAGCAGTATGTCCTCTGAAGGTGGAGTCTCCACGCCTTCCTACAGCAGTCCAGATCAGGGCGACCCATAGATTTGAACAATTTAATAACCGTTTTATTTTCCTTCAAGTCAAAGGTTCGTTTGATTTTCCTATTTTTTTTTTTACTACAGCTCTCACTTGTAACGTTTTTTCAATGACTTGTGAATAAAAACTTCTAGGACCTTTACTTCATGAATCTGTTATATGGTAGAGTTGTTTATAGGATAGTTGTGATGTGCACTGTTATGCCCTACATGCAAGGTCTTGCATTTTTCAATATGTGACGACTTATAATGAATTTTGTAACTAGCTCATCAAGATTGTAACTTGCTTAGCTAAATGAATTGTGGGGTTCAGTCCCTGAGCCCATTATGTGCCTCTGTAACCCTTTCCACTACCACCCACAAGATGGGTATGGGGTGCAAAATAAATGAACTAAACTAAAACTCAATATTGAAAAGCATTTGCCAGTAGTCTGACCATTTGTGGTGTTCATGTAGTAAGACCTCAATATCGTTTTCGATTCCTACTTTACCATAGATCTTAATCAATTCGTTAGTGCTTATGTGGAAAAAAATATATTTATATACAAAAGTAAAAAAGGATAAAACCAAAAAAAATATTTTACAGTCAGCAACAAGATCACATACACATTTATTTAACATATTCAGTAATCAACAAGGCAGGACCGCAGGCTTAGTAGTGGAGTCGGACGTCAGAGGATACATTCAAGTTAAAATAAAAAAAAAACAGTTGATATAATTTATCTTTCCTCTTGTGGTAATGCGCTTCCGCAGTATTGGGAGTAAGCGTATTGTCTTATTTCACAACTCACTCGTCCGTCTACTTTTTAACCATAGAAAGGAATGACGATATTGTTAATTTACAACTAAGAGATGACGCCCTTCTCTGTCCACTCCTCCACCACAGAAAGCACACGAGGCTTCAGTAGAGGGTTCCTGTCTACCATCACAAGTACGTTCTCCCTTTCTGTTCTCTTCCCGTCTTCTTTACTGTCCAGAATATCCATCATGTCCTGGGGTCGACGCACCATGTTAGGCAGCCACATGAGGCAATACAGGGTGCCATAGAAGCCCCTGTCCACGTACTCCTGACGCAGCTGCTCCAGGGTGAAGGGCACGGCGACGCTCCCCGCCTGCATGACGCTGGTGAGGGTGGCGTGGTAGGTGGCCAGGAAGGTGCGGAGATTGGGTCGGCGGACAGGTCCTGTGAGGTTCATGTTGAGGAAGTGCTGGAGGTCGGTGGCCACGGAGGCCATGCGGCACCCTTGTAGGTCCAACATCTTCACCTCCACCGGCCTATTGTCTTCGTCGTACCTGATTATTATTATCTGTATTAATATTAATTATTGTAATATTGTAATATATTCTGTGTCTCATGGGACACGTCTATGACTTTCAGAAATGCAGGACTTTATTATTGAGATTTCAAATCCCAATTTATGCCACTAAAACCTAAAATCTTGAAAATTTTAATTTTATTGTTGCAAAATATTTATGATTTGTTTTATATGTGACCACGATTTTATCTAACACTAACACCAATGTTCGTGTAGCCGGTGTTAGAGCTGTATCTAACACCGGATACTCGTAGGAGACATAGGGTGAACAATAAACTAGAAACTGTTAGGGGGCAATAATTAGGGTACAAAGCAAACAAACAGAATTTAAAACAACGTATAGGCCTAAATTATATTAAAATGAAAGTAAATTCGGATAAATTTTAATATGAATTTGTAACTTCTTTCATAATCATTACTAAATGACTTAAGACCAACCTGAAGAGCAAGTTATTTATCCAGCAGTCTCCGTGGGTTATGGCGGCAAAGGGCGGGGTCTTGACCAGGTGTTCGTCGAACATCTTCCAAGCTTGTGGCTTGATCTTCTTGATCCACTTCACCACTGTCTCGCACCCGCCCATCTTCTCAAACATGTCGATCGCGATGTTCAGGTAATTCTCTATGAAAGTACCGAAGTTTCCGCCCAGGTTGAACTCTTTCGTCCATTCTTTCTGCAGCGACTGGAACTTGTGTAAGAGATCTTGTTGAGGTGTAGCGGCTTGCAAAAGAAGCGAAGCGGCGTGGAGTCTGGCTAGTTCCTTGAGGACTAGTAGGGAGTGAGAGGCGTCTATGCCTTGTGCTCTGTCCTGCATACTGTAACCTTGTTCCCGCAGGTTCTCCAAGACGACCATCTCCTTCCCCGGCTCTAGGCTGTAGTAGACGCACTTAGGGAAGCTCAGAGGTTTTCCCCCAATGCCTTGTAGTATGGCGTTGAGTGCAGGAATGATCTCAGCATAAAAATAACATTCCTTGGCATAAATGATGCTGTAGAAATCGGTCGTTTGTCCTCTGTCCGGAGTGACCTTGGCGACGTAGGAGACTTCTCCCTCCTCCCCTGCTAGCGAGTACTGTATCCGGATGTTGGCAATATTGGAGGTGGCGCCGTCGAACTTAGCAGTGAAGGACTCCGTGTCCCAGGAGACCACCACGGCCCCGTCGCCCTTATCGGAGATCAGAGCGGCTTGTACCACCTCCTCCGTCACCGCTCTTAACACGCCTTCACTCACTGCAAAGAACAGAACAGTATAGTGGATATCTCCACCACTAGCAATAATACATTGGTAATGATTAACTTTTTGACGCTCTTTGTGTAAGTAATGTATATTTTAAGTTACATGTAAGTTTATATGTGTATATATTAGCAGTAATTCTTCATTCTTTATGAATGAAGAATGAGCAGGGAAGATGTACCTCTCTCGAGAAGTTTAAGAGAAAAAATTAAGTACTACCTAATAAACTCCATGTAGTCTACCTTACCTCCTAAATGTCAACCTATGTCTTGCTATTTTCAAACAATATTGATTATTGACCAACTTGTTTAACTGCTAATATCTGCTAATATTAAAGAAAATTGTAAACTTTTGTTTATTTAGTTAAAATTCCTTCTGCTGTTCCGTCCATCATGTAAATATTATCATTCTCTTATTTTTTTAATTCAATTTAGGCTTTTGATCTCAATTAGTATTAATACACTTTCACGCGCCAGTGTCGTACCTCAACGACGCGTATTTTTACCTGGAAATACAGGTGCGTCGTAAATTTACATGCGATTAAAAAATATTTGTATAAAATCCAATTCTTATTCGATCGACTTGGGGATAGTATGAAAGTAAGTAAGTAATTATCAAAAGAAGGCACCAAACCGGGAAGGCTATGTAGCACCATCAAATACGCAAAATAATCAGAGGGCGCTAAATATCACCAAGGATGCCAATACGAGAACAAAAACGCATAAGGCGAACGATATCAAAAGTATCCGAGTCACCAAGAATTCTATCGTGAGGTGCTTCCGGGGCTTAGCGTCCACGCGGCCCGTTCGTCGACCAGGCCTCCTGGTTACTGGACTGATCAGGGTTAAGCGAGTACGGCCAATACGCAACCTCGCCAGAGCTGTTTCCCACCGCCGGTTACGGTGGAAGGAGGACGGCCACGAGGAAAGACACCATTTAAGAGTACGTAGCTTGTTACCAGTAACAGACAACCAAGAAGCCTGCCAACGGGTAAGGACTGAGGAATGGATAACCGGGTAAAAGTCGGAATATGGAATGCCTTTACGAGATATGGGACAAGAGCGGAGAGCTTCCTTGGCGGCAGCATCCGCACGCTCATTTAAAGACACACCAATATGGCTGGGAACCCAACAAAACTCAACCGACTTAAATCCGTTGAGGAACCGTGGACGGAGAGGCAACGTTAGGGCGGCGTTGGGCGCCCCCGATGGCGCCGATCCCGACATGCCCCCCCCTGACGGGACCCCCCTGGAAGCTGCTTGGAAGGAAACTATGGTCGAATTCCTTGCAGCTATTGCACCCAGGGGCCAGGAAACCGGATGGGGGGAGGAACTCCTCGACGAGGCAATCACTGACCTGGTCAGTGGTAACGGCCATAACGTGGATAGGATCCTCGAGCGCCATGCTCGGGTGGTTACTACAGCCAAAAGATCTGGTGATCACGCACTGCGCTCCCGCCCTGCGCGCCAGCAGAGACCACCCCCCAAATAAACCGTGCTGATCCAACCCAACCTCCGATTGGATGTAAGAGGGAACGAAGGGCACAGTATGTTCTGTGCCAGAGCCTGTACGAGAAGGATCGTTCAAAAGCTGCTGCGCGCGTCCTCTCCGGAGACTGGAAGGTTACCCCCACGGAGGTGGAACCAGCCCGTCTCTTTCCATTCTGGGAAGCACTATTCTCTAGACCCACATCGCCGGACCGCCGCCCAATTCGCGACCGTGATCCAGTTAATCAGCAACTAGGGGACCCAATAACACCAGAGGAAATCCTTGTTGCTCTCAAGGCAAGTAGCACTGCTGCTCCTGGCCCAGACGGTATCACTATACGTTTACTTAAAGCTATACCAATCAGGGTGTTTGCAAAACTGTTTAATCTGTGGTTGGTAAACGAGTCCCTGCCACATCCTTTTCGCAAGAACAAGACAGTGCTTATACCTAAGAAACCTAACCCAGACTCTCCATCCCACTATCGCCCCATAACTATGTCATCAACGATAGTAAGGCTGTTCCACAAGATTCTGAGCAGCAGACTCTCTGAGGCAGTCAGGATCGACAGGTGGCAGAAGGCCTTCGTCCCCGTTGACAGATGCCCTGAAAACCTGGTGATCCTGGATGCCCTCCTTGCTGAGGCTCGTGCGCTTAAACACAACACGCACCTGGCGTTTCTGGATATGGAGAAGGCTTTCGATAGCGTCTCCCATCCGGCCATCCATCGGGCCATGAAACGTAAAGGCATTCCAAAGCCTTTAAGGACATATATAATGTCCTTAATCAGTCTCCGTGGTGTAGTGGTAAGACACTCGCCTGGCGTTCCGCGAGCGCTATGTCATGGGTTCGTATCCTGGCCGGGGAGGATTTACTGGGCGCAATTCCTTAACTGTAGCCTCTGTTTAACGCAACAGTAAAATGTGTACTTGGATGAAAAAACGATTCTTCGCGGCAGGGGATCGTATTCCAGGGACCATAGGATTAAGGACTTGCCCGAAACGCTACGCGTACTAGTGGCTGTACAAGAATGTAACAACTCTTGTATATATCTCAAAAAAAAAAAAAAAAAAAAAAAAAAAAAAAAAAAAAAAAAAAAAAAAAAAAAAAAAAAAAAAAAAAAAAAAAAAATGTCGGGCTATGACAGGTCCTCAACCATAATAACCAGCCAAGGAGAGAAGTCGAAGGACATCCTGATCACTAGGGGGGGTGAAACTGGGTGACCCCCTGTCTCCATTTCTCTTCAACCTAATAACTGATGAGGCAATTACTAGGGCTAAGGACTTGGGGCTAGGGGTCGGTCTGGGCGGTGAAAAGGTATCAGCGCTGGCGTTCGCCGACGATCTGGTTGTGGCAGCGGAAACGGCTGCCGGACTACAGACACTCATAACCAGTATTTGCCGCACGCTGCGCGGCTCTGGTCTCAAAGTAAACGCTGCAAAATGCCGGACGCTGAGCATCGAAAGACATGGCATGTCCCCACCAGGAAGGCATATTACGTCGGAGACGATGCGATTAGTACTATGAGTGTGGCGGACGAGTACAAGTACTTAGGGATACTGATCGGAGCCGGGGGCAGACGGAGGACGGCCTGACCAACATCACCAAGGCGCCGCTCAAACCCCAACAGAGGTTATACCTACTAAAGCACCACCTAATCCCCAAGATGAACCACCGCCTTGTCCTCGGACACGTGGCTAAGACGGAGCTGGCGAGGTTGGACCGGCGGCTGCGACACGCCACTCATGGCTGGCTGCGGCTGCCCCACGACACCCCCAACGCCTTTATCCACGCCGACGTCAAGGACGGTGGACTAGGGATACCCGACTTTACCACATCAATCCGGCTACAAAAGAACAAGCGGCTCGGGGCGCTGACTGGATCAGCGGACCCAGTGGTGGTGGCAGCGGCTCTCCTACCCGCATTCCAAGCGAGAATGCGCCGGTGGGTAGACCCGACCACGGCCGCTGGAACGCCATCCAGCAGGACGACCGAGTGCGCTAGAAGATGGAAGGCAAAACTGTACAGCATGGTCGACGGCGCCGGCCTCGCTTCCTCTTGTGAGGTCCCATCCTGTCACAAGTGGGTTGCGTCCGGTACCCGTTTGCTAAGCGGAGGAGATTTTGCCCACGCCGTCCAAATTAGGGCAAACGCTGTAGCCATGCTGTCTAGGGCGGCTAGGGGTAGACCCGAGGCTTCTGGTCTCTGTGACGCTTGTCGGAAACCAGGAACCTTGGGCCACATATCCCAGGCCTGCCATAAGACACACGGGGCTCGGGTGAAACGTCACGACGACATCACCCGGTTCGTAGCTGGCCGATTGCGGCAAAGAGGCTTTGAGGTGGAGCGCGAGGTCCGTATACCAGATGGAGGGACCTTCTGCAAGCCAGATATTATAGCTTGCAAAGGTGATGAGGCCTTCATATTAGACACCCAGGTCTCAGCTGATAACTTCCCACTCTCCCGTCCACATCAGAGCAAGTGCGACAAATACGGCACCCCCGAGATCCTGCAGAAGGTCCGGGAGTATACCGGTAAGCCTACAGTATCCGCCTCCTCAATAACCCTTAATTGGAGAGGTGGATGGTGCAAGGAGAGTGCGCGTGGTCTACAAGGTATGGATCTCACCAAGAGCGACCTCGAGATTTGCTCCGTGAAGGCCCTGACCTGGACATATTCTATATACAAAATATGGTCCAAGGCCACGTCAAGGGGCAGGCCTCCCTAGCCCCGGGATCACTGTGCACAGGGTGCATAAGGGTAACTATAGTCACGCTTAGGTGAACCGCAGCCAAGTCAGCTGGTAGCCAACTATCTAAGCAGTTTCGTCATCTGGAGTACCACTTCTCCTAATGGCGTCTCACAAGAGGGTGGATGACCTGGCAGAGCCCGCGAGTAGATAAGGCGGCGACCGGAGGGACCCCATGCGCATACATGATAACCCTCCCGATCCGGGGCCTAGTTAGGAGCATCCACTGTGTCTAGTTTTCCATGTATGCCGACGTCAAATCATCATCCCTGCCGATTGGGCAGCCTGCTGCTTTGGCCTTCAGCGTTTTTTGTTCTTTTTAAATGTTATACTGTGCACCCCTACCTATGTGTGCTGTGTCCCATATAGAAAAAACCAACTACAAAAGAATTTTCCATTAATGTTTTTGTTTATTTTCAGGTTATTATTATGTATGATTAGTATCATCTTAACTCTTGTGGGTGTGATGAGATCTGCCATATATGTTTATTTTAGTTTGTGTGTGTTAGGGTATTAGGTATGCTTAGGGGTCCGTCTCGCCATGCCCTGTGGCTGGGGGGATCGGGCTCCGAAGCTACATAAAAACCCTATACCCCCCGAAGTGGCAAGGGGAGTTAGGGGACAAAAAAAAAAAAAAATTACTGAGAACAAGAAACAGCCAATGCTGGATCTCGACAACTACTGGATGAACCGGATTAAAGGACCCGAGAGTCATGAGGGCACTATGAGAGTCAACAACTACAAAGGAAGACTGACAACGAG